TTTTGGGTTACGTCAACACCAAATATGTAAATAAAAACAAGACAAAAGAGCAAAAAATTTAAGATTTTGTGTATTTTTAAAGAAAAACTGACGTATTTTAAACTGTAATCCTGCTAAATAATCCCCATTTTTACTAAATGTAACTGTAATCTGATTATGTTTTGGGGTTTTTTTCTGTATCTGTAATTGATTACAGCCTGATGTTGAGAAATCGTTTTAATCGTTTTAATTGATCGTGCGATTGGTAGATTTATGACACTTGTTTATGTTCTGCTGACTGCTACAAACTGGGTCTTATGTTTTACATTTCATTTTCTGATCCAACATCTGAAGATGTTTTAGTTAAAATTCAGACAGATGAATCATTGATTGTTGATTGATTATTAATAAACATTACATAAGTGTGTGTGTGTCATTTCAGTGTCAGGAGTCAATATTTTCAGGCCTGAACAGAGCCTGTCGGGGTTTATTCCTGTCTGTTGTATGTATAACCCAGGGTCATATATTTTGTCTGTGTATAACATCAGTGAACTTTAAACTCCACGTTACAAAGTTTAACATGATATTCACCTTTTTTACTCAATACTTTCTCCTTTGAAGCTGTTTGACTTGACTTTTTGCCGTTTTTATATTGATTTTAAACGTATTTAAATAAAACCTAGTTCCTACTTTCCCTATTTTTTTAATGAATTAGACCTATTTCTTGCATTTTCCTGCAAACTCTTGACAACTACTGAATGAATTGCGGTGAAAATAATAACTAATAACTATCAGTGACTTTATGTTTGTCCAATTTCTTTTGGTTTATGATCAAATACTTGCAAAGCTATTTAGCTTCCCACCAGCCTCAGCTGTGTTTAGCGCTAACACATGTGAGCTAACACTCTGAACTAACATGGTGAAACATTATAAACATTATACCTGTTAAACCAGTCGGCATTTTAGCTTTACCACTGCAAGCGTGTTAACATACTGAAGTTAGCATTTATTTTTTGATTTTGAAATTTATATTTTATTCATCAGATATCAGATATCAGAAGTTCAAATGATGCTAATATGCTAACATTTCAGCCTAAAGTGCAGAGAGGCTGAAACAGTTTGCATATTAGCAATGCTTGAACTTCATTTTTGTGATAAATGTTGGAGTATTTTCAGTGTTTTTAAAGTTTTTAAGTATATGTTTAAAATAAACTGTACTTGGCACAGTTGTAGAGACTAACAGAGCGTTATAACATTAGTTATTGGTGAAATTGAGATGATGGTCTTTATAAATCTTTTTGCATTCAACATTTTCTTGGTTTAGCACAAACAAACTATTAATGTTTAAGTGTATTAATAAAACTAAGAACGCTGACGTTTTTAGTCTTTAAATGCTGCAGTTTTAGACGAAGGTTCATCCTGCAGGGAGATAAAATGTACAGAAAGATAAGCCCGAGCCAACTCCCAGACCTCTGACCTCCTTCTGCTAATATTCCAACATGTCAGAGATAAAAACCAATAGAGCTTTAATATTCAGTTATAGCTCCTCTGGGCGTGTATAACATTCCTTATCTGGTTTCAACTTTGGTTCAGAGACACGAGTTGAAGAGGACACGACCTCCACAGGCAAAAAGTATTGACACTTTTCTCCTGATAATAAATAAGAATTAGATTTTTTTTACTTTACTTTGTTGTTACTTTGGTTTAAACTTTGAACTTGTGATGATATCTGATATAAAAACTATGTTTTGAAATAACTTTGAATTTTTATGGGGCCTTAACATTGACAAAATGGTATTTAATTTCTACATTAATATAGTAAAAATACTTTTTTGTCATGTAAGAGCAACTTCTCTGGTTTATATACCGTTATTGGTTTGGACCTTTGTTGCATGTTCCCCCATATTTCATGTCTCCTCTCTACTGTCTGCTATCAAATAAAGGCAAAAATACCAATTTTAACACTACTACACTACTTCCCCTGTTACACTGCACAGCAACAGACTAAGATAAGGAAAGGAATATAGCATGTCGGTAGCCAAAGAAAGACTACAGATTTAATTATTATTAGATATTAGTCAAAAAAACATAAGGAAACAATACAACAAAGCATAAAAAAAGCTTAACTACTGTCACTTAAACCTCAACATTGATCATATTATTGTAAAATCTCTCCATAAAGCAGATAAAATTTTAAGAATGACCCCAAACTGGGAACAATTAAGTTATAATCACACTAAAATTAGTGTAAATATATTGTGCCACCTGCTGGATGAAATCTTTAAACAGCCTTCATTGTGATTATAGTTACGGTTTATAACATACTGTTTCATATAAGTGCACAGCTGCTGTAACTTATTTGTTTCTTGAGTTTCTGTTTTTTTTTAACTATGTTGCTGTTTGCACAATAAAAATTGTTTAAATTCTGATTCATTCATATATTTCATCATTTTAAGGGGTCAAGAAACCCTCCTAATAGTAAAGCATTCAGTTTATAAATAATGGCATTAAATGCTTTTATTTTTTATATTCTATTCTATTCATATTTTGAGTTTCTGGAGGGTTTAAAACACCAAAAACAGGGTTTATTCGTCATCGTTACTCTCTCCTCTCTCCTGGATTTATTCATCCAACAAGGTCAAGAAGTCCATCGGCAGATGAAGACCATGTGATGCAGGTAGAAAGTTCTGGAAAATCCAGCAAGAGAATAAAAGCTGAAAGCTCCAGAAAAAGCTAGTAAGTAAAGTTTTCTCTTATACACTGTACTTATTTTCTATATATTGTTATATACTGTAATATAATGTACATGCTTTTACACACCCTTATATCTTTATTTTCTATATAAATTGTAATATAATGTGCATATTTTAATGTTATTATTATTTCTAGTACTTAAAGTCTTTTTGTTAGCAAATTGAGCAACTGTAATGAAACCTACTTAAGTATTTCATATACAAATGGTCTGCTTGGAACAATAATGTGTGTTTGCATTAAAAAAAAGTATAATTTCTCATTAAAAATCCATAAAAAGTCATCTACTCTTTCTACTTTTAACTCTGTAGATACATCTTTGAAGCTCCAACTGTAGGAACAAGAAGAAAAAAACATGCTTTTGAGTAGAATTTGTGTCAGAAAAAGCTCAGAAACATCAGATTTTCTCCGTTTTATTACAGAATTAGTTTCAAAAACAACAAAAAATATCCAACAGTAGTTCAGTGATTCTGTTCTCAGGCTTTAATGTTACGTCGAGAAGTGACCGTTTGTAGTTCACGTGGAGTGTGTTTCAAATACTAAAGGTATTTGAAACGTGTGAGCGCCACACGACTCCAAAACGTCATTTATTCACTGTAACATCTTCATGTTTTCTCACAGAATCCTTAAAAATGTAAAACAACAGATGTGCGTGAATGGCCAAAAGTCTTACTGCAGTTATGCTAAAATAAGTCAAACTAAATAGCAGTAAATTGAGGCGTTTCCCTTCTTAAGAGGACAGAAATCTGAATTGCACATATTAAACAGACTTTAGAAATCACTGCATTCAAACAGTATTTTTATATGAGTACAGTTTTATTTAAGTGCACTGCATGCTGAAAACTCTCCAACAAACACAATAAAAGTTTGTTATATGTTAAAAAATAATTACTACACAATCTGCTATAAAAACAGCACCCCTGTAGTTTCACTCATTTTAAGTGCAGCAGTGTTTAAGGCGATTTAGCTTCTTTAATTATCATTTGATAACTATAAAATAAATAGTAGATTTAATATTCAGCATGTAGGATCGGAGGTAAAGTGAGGCGAGCTGCAGCTGGTAATAAATTAGGCTCGATTAGAAGAATTATAACGATAACGGTTTGTTTTTGAGTCTCTGAAGTTGAAGCTATATTGATGACGATTCGGTGGAAAACAAAAGTATAAAAACTGTGTGTATTGTTGCTGAAAAGTCATGTGAGTCAGTGGTTACTCGCTGTAAATAAACTGTAGTCCAAGACCACCTCTGTTGAGTCCAAGACCAGGACTAGTGGAGTCCAAAGAGAATGAAAATAATTATTTTGTCACTGCTGAAGACAGGTATACGATTCTAAGTGATGCTGATTGGTGCACTAACCGCGGTTGCCAAGCGACCATTGTTAGTGCCCCCCTCTTTATATGGATGTTTGTATTAAACTAATACCTGTTGTTTTTTTTAAATCGATTCATCAATGGAGGAAGTTACTTCGGGAAACAAAACGTATATTTCTGGACTCGAGATAAAAAATAAAAGTTCTTACATCAGGACATGTACGAGTAAAGGACGGAAATTAATCTTTTATTTCACTTTAATAGAATAAATCTTGTGAATATCTTTTCTTATTGCCAACAAATTGCCATAAAAAGACCAGAACACAACTCTGTGTTACTCTATGAATCTCTTTTTCTATGTGTGCAGCATGA